CGGTCGGGGGGCCCCGTTGGGTCCGTACCCACGGCCACCCCAGCAAAAGGGTCACTCTTACGTTGACTACCTACCAAACCACCCCAACCCAACCCGAAGATCCGAATTTCGGGTTGGGGGGGTACGGGTTCCATGTGTGTTTTCTCGACGTTCCCCGACCCCCCCCCAACTGGAAATGGAGGGCAAATTGGGGCATTCGGGTTGGTTTGGGGTGGTTTGGTGGGTGGTGATACGTGAAGTCGTACTGCTCAAGCTCGGGGGTCACGAATCAACATCCGGACAAGTCCTGGGGAGCTCAAGCCAAAAGCGGATCCTGGCCCCGGCGACGCGAAGCCCACAAAGAGCCACGGCAGGCCGGAACGCTACACGTAGGTCGGGCATGTCTTCCTACAAGCGGATTTCGGAAGAAGAATTGAATGTCGTCGAGAAATACTCTAACTAGGCCTGGCGAAGGACCCAACCAGATGCATTGTGAGTAACGCAGTTGTAAGTATCGTCTTCGGTGACGCTCCACGGAGCGTGTGAGGGGCGTGCCAAAAGTGGTAGCGAGGACGCATGCGGGCACCGCCACTGGGGCCTTCGGTGGAGCCCCCTATGGGGCCACGAAGCGCGTGAGGGGTGTGCCGAATGGTTGGCGGGGACGCATGTGGGCACCGCAACTGGGGCCTGCGGTGGAGCTCCCTACTGCGACACGAAACTTGTAACAACTGTGCCAAAAAAAGCGGTTGCGCGGACGCATGTGGGCACCGACACTGGGGCCTTCGGTGGAACTCCCGTTGGGGCCACGACGCGTGTGAGGGGTGTGTCGACATGGGTCCCGGGGACGCATGTGGGCACCGCCACTGGGGCCGTCGGCGGAGCTACGTATGCGGCCGAAAGGCGCGTGAAGGATGTGCCGAAATGGGTGGCGGGGACGCATGTGGGCAACGCAACTGGACCCTTCGGTGGAGTTCCCTATGGGGCCTAGAAGCGTGTGTGGGGTGTGCCAACATAGGGTCGGGGACTCATGTGGGCAACGCAACTAGTGTCTTTGGTGGAGCTTCCTGTGGGGCCACTAAGCGCGTGCGGGGTATGCCTAAATCAACATGGTTGTCGGAGACGCATGTGGGCACCGCCACCGGGCCCTTTGGGGGAGCTCCCTATGGGGCCACAACGCGTGTGAGGGGAGTGCCCACATGGGTGCCGGGGACGCATGTGGGCACCGCCACTATGGCCTTCGGTGGAGCCCCCTATGGGGCCACGAAGCGTGTGAGGGGGATGCCAAACTGGTTGTCGGGGACGCATGTGGGCACCGCCACTATGGCCTCCGGTGGAACCCCCTATGGGGCCACAGCGCGTGTGATGGGTGTGCCGACATGAATGGCGGGGACGTATGTGGGCACCGCCACTGGGGCCTTCGGTGGAGCTCCCAATGGGGCCACGAAGCGTGTGAGGGGTGTTCCGGAATGGGTGGCGGGACGCATGTGGGCCCCGCCTTCGGGGCCTTCGGTAGACCTTCCTGGGGACACGAATTGTGTGAGGGGTGTGCCGAAATGGGTGCTGGGGACGCATGAGGGCACAGCCATGAGGGCCTTCGGTGGAGTTCCCTATGGGGCCACGAAGCGTGCGGGGGGGGGGCGGGAATGGGTGGCGGGGACGCATCTGGGCACACGGGGGACTTCGGTGGAGCTCCGTTGGGGCCACGAAGCGTGTGAGGGTTGTGCTGACATGGGATGGGCATGCGGAGAGCAGAGGCAAGGGGGGGAGGGGGTTCCAGGAGAGTAGGAAGTGGAGAAGGAGCAGGAGGAGGACGAAAGGAACGCTGGGCGCTTCTTCTTCAAAACGAAGACCCAACCTCACAAGACGGTTGGGGAATAGTCGAACATAGTCGAACAATCGTCCCCGGACTTATTTTTGTTTTCAACTGTTGTGTATTCCTTCCGTAGAAGGACGTGCCCACGTAAACCTACACCCTCGAAGCTCGAGCCTCAAAAATCGGAGTTCGAATCGGAACGATACGGGGGGGCAGGCTCCAAAACAACAAAGCACGGCGGGAACTTGTTTTCTCTTTCGGCCTCTGGAGGCCCTCACTAGGTGTAAGTCGGGCCTGTCCCTCTACAGGGGGCATATTCAAAAATAGTTACGAAATAGTCCGGGTACATTTTCAGACATATTTTTACCATTTTGGATTATGCTTGAATATTATGAGCAACTCTTTTTTCACATTGCAGGGACACAGATCTGACGAAAGCCTCGAGACGTCCAGGCCAGAGGTCAAAGTCGATGCACGCTCTCACTCCTCCCAGGGCGGGAGGGTGGGAGCCGAAGACAGGCTATGGAGGGGAGAGCGGGGACAAGTGAGGGAAGGCATCCCGATGTTTAAACTTCCTTGGATTGTTTAGCAGGTGCTGACATCACCGAATTCAAAAAGCCCAAGCTCAAACCGTTCAAGAACAGATAGAGCAACTCTTTTTTTCACATTGCAGGGACACAGATCTGACGAAAGCCTCGAGACGTCCAGGCCAGGAGGTCAAGGTCGATGCACGCTCTCACTCCTCCCCAAGTTCCCCGAATACGGGAGTTCACAGGGCTGGGAAGGGGAGGATGTTGAATTGTATCCGAACGTGACAACGCAAGAGGCAGTGAGTGCCCGAACTATACAGTGTGCGAGCTCGGGCGGGTAGGCATCCGCTGGACGGGCGCGGGCGCTGCCTTCGAGTTGGAAATGAGGCAGGCCTGACCGCGAGCACTGTCCCCTCTGACCACTACATTTTCGGCAAAGATTCTTGAGATCGTCAACTGTTACGTGTTACGTGACAGAACATGAGGCGAGTTGGCTTCTTACATTGGGCTTTGACTTGGCACTGGTCTAGTTCGACTAAGCTGACATGCGACAAGTTTGCTAAAGCTTGGATCTCTGCGGTGTGCCACAGACGAGAGGTGAGCGGGTGCTCAAGAGCAGCAGGGATCTTGAGCTGATGGAAGAGAGCGAACAGGCCTATGGCGGCGTGGGCAATCCGATTGCCCACCTTGAGTTGCTCTCGGTCTGGTGCACTGAGCGACTGGCTGGGCAAACCCCAGGGCATATGCTTGGATCGGATCTTTGCCGCCCGATCTCGCGCGATCGAGAAGGTTTGGCACGAGGGGGCCAACGCTGCTGCAAGGATAAGGCCCCGGCGGGCGTCGCGTCGGATCGCCCTGAGGACCCTTGGATCGACAAGATTCTGCCAAACTGGATCGTGGGCTACGTCCCAGCTGCGCGTTCTAAAGCCCAGCTTTTCACCTGCTCCCGAGATGCAACGGCTTCCCGCAAAAAAAACAACTGCTACACACCGGCCTCTGAGGCCGAAACGCTGTGCAGCGAGATGTCTCTCGCGGCAGCCACGGAAGCTCCGCCTTAGCTTGGCGCGCGCGACTGCCAGGTCAGCATTCGACGGCTGAACCGGACTGGGTGAGCTTGGCCGAGCATGATCCTCATCAGATGGACCTCGCAAGCCTCGTACAGGCGTCTCTGGTCCGCGGGAAAGCGCTCGTACTCGGCGCTCAGACGGCTGCTGTGCTCGTACCGGTGCATGCTTTTCGCCTGAGCCCAGCAGCCGCGCCATCGAATCTCCTCTAGGCTGCGCGTGCGTCTGCTGGCGTCGATGCTCGCGGCTGAGTGGCGGAACTGGTACAGTGTCAGTTTGCCAGCCCCGATCTCGGCCGCTGCCAGCTGCACCGCCTGCGAGAGCTCCAGGTACGTGAAGGGCCACAGCTTGGTCCTGTCTCCGTGCCCTCGGAGCTCGGCGAACAGCGGACCTAGCCCCCGAAGGTAACTCGAGTCCAGGAGGCAGCCCTCGTCGTAACGATTCGTTTTGCTTGGTCTGCCCTCCTCCTCTGGGTGCGTCAGAAGGCTCCAGCTGTCCACTGTAGCGCGCGAAGGCGGGACCAGGTCGCACTTCCGAGCTGCCAGCAGAGAAGAGGGCATCGAATAGGCAGAGAGGCCTACGGCCAGGAACAGGGCCATGAACGGGAGGCCCTTGTCCAGCAGCCGCCACATCACTGCCGACCACACGGCGAGCGGCAGCGCTCGGCGGGTGCGCGAGGGCGTCAGCCGCCTCCACGCCTTGAGCGCTCGCCACGTCCGCGGCAAGGCTCTTCCGCCCCGTCGGCCAAAAGCCGGGTGTCGGTCGATGAGGGCGGCACCAGTCCGATCCCCCAGGCTGCTCTGCTCCCCGGACAGGTACATCGCGGTTTAGTCGCACACCCAGCGGTCCGCGGTCTTGTCCGAGCTCCTCACGAGCTCGTCGTCGGTCAGGCCGGCATGCCAATAGAAACGATCGAGATACTTGGCATAGCGCTCCCTCGTCCGGCGAGTCACCGCCAGTCGCTCCAGCAAGGTGGGCCCACCGGCCGCGGTCTGCATGATCATGTCCGTGTAGAGGGCCGCGCGGCGCCGGCGCCGGGAGCCCTGGAGGCGTCGAGATCTCCTCGAGGCCGCAGTCGCGTGGTTCACCACGCTGTCGGACCCACTCGACTCGTCTCCCTCCCCGACGTCCGCCTCGTCGCCGCCAGCGCCGTCCGCGGGAGCGAGGTCCTCGAGCGCCACAGGGGGCGGCAACGGCGGCTGGCGAGGGCGGCTCTCCAAGCGCGCCCTGACCGAGCGGGCGCCAGGGCCCCCTGTCCTCGCGACGGGGCGGGCTTTGGGACCACGCGTCTCCGTCGCCACCTGGGGCCTCACCAGCACTCTCGACCTCGCCTTCACTGTCGGAGGATCTTTCCGGCAGGGCGGCGGGCCGACGCCAGGCCGCGGCAGAACCCGCGACGGCGCTGGAGGACTCGCCCGCGATGGAGCCCGCGGCGGCCGCAGAGCCCGAGCAAGCATCCGCCGGGACAGACTCTTCGGGACGGAAGCGAGGAAGGCCTGACTAGAGTTAGAGCCGAAACGACTACGGAGGGGAGAGAGTGAGAAGGGGGAGCAGAGATCCTAACCTGCTGATCCAGGACATCGGTTAGCAACTTGGACGAAACTTCTGAGTGACCGCGGCTCCCGGCATCGCTCTGGTTAAACTCTGAGGGAATCCAAGGGCAAGGGCATAGGCGTTGAAGCGCCGAATCTGGACTAGGAGCTTGAAGTCCTGACTCCTCGAGCGAGCGAAAGCAAGAACGACGGCCATGTTGTCACACAAGAAGAGCTGTCTGATGCAGGACCCGTGTCTGGTCCTGGCGAGCCTACGAATGGCCTTCACCAAGGCCCGGGCCTCCAGTACCAGAATGCCCTCGCTAAGGCCCCAGACTCCCCTCCGGACGGTTTCCCAGGCCGAGCCTCGGAGGAGCTGCCAGGGGACTTCGGGAAAATCCGCCACAACCTCCCAGTCGTCTAACTGAGGCTCGTCTCCTAAAAACTGGCTTCTCCACTCGCCTGACTCGTCACGGAAGAGGTGGGCAGAAGTGAGTGCGGATTCCCGAGCGGAGTGAGCACAGACACGCTTGAAACGGGAACGCTCACTGACGCGACCGACGCTGGCGACCTGAGACGGCTCCCAGAAGCTTTGGGCCATCGCCCAGCCCGCTAGGCTGGCGTCGGTTTCCAAAACGCAGGGGTTCCACGGCAGCCACCAGTCGCGGCCCAGAAGCAAAAGGACCCCTCGAAAGGCTACGAGCTCCTCGACCACTTCGGGCCACATTGTGCTCACGTCAAAATACTGGACCGAAATGAACTTATAAACGGTGTGGAAGATAGAAAGGGACTCACGGGCAGCCAGAACGCAGAAGGTGCAATGTCCGATCACTTTTTCAAGCGCCTGGCCGCTGCAGCGGCCCCGAGCGAGGAGGCCAGTCAGGCCCCGCTCGAGCTTCCAAAACCGGCTCGAGGTGATCCCCGAGCGGAGGCGAGCGCCGTCGAGCTCCGTGCCGAGAGCCTCGCCAGCGCCGCCGTGGGACTCCGACTTGTGGAGCGCCAGGCCGACCGGCTCGAACAGATCGCTCCACTCGGAGACCACCCTGTCACTGAGGTCGGCATCGTCCGAAACGGCGCCAAGGTTGTCCACGCACACGTAAGCGCCTCCGACCCCGCGCGAGGCGGCTCGCAGCACAAAAGCCTCGGCCTGATCCTGAATCAAGGGCTGTTGTCTGCCGGCTGGCATCGCCCTGCACAGGCTGGGGCTACGGCGCACCCTGTCCTCATTCGCGGCCTGGGCCAGGTACAGCGACCACGTGAATCCCATCGGAAGCACGGCAAGGTAGGGCCGCGCAAGGGCGTCCGGCGGAGCGTCCGCCGGGACGCCGGCCACCTGAATCCCGTCGAGCGCGTGCTTCGGGACGGCGGAGAGGCAGAAGTAGCGGCCGTGGTCCTCGCGGACGCGCATTCGGTAGAAGCAGTCCTTCACGTCGGTGGTGGCCACGTAGATAGCGAAGGCGCCCAGCAGCCGTTGCCCCTCAACTGACGAGGGCAAGACACCCAGCGGCAACTCTATCTCGATCCGGCCGATCCCCTCGCTGCTGAGAAGCTGCACACCTGGCGGCGTTCTGAAGTGGCCGTTGCTTCGCCTAGCATCGATTATCATACGCTGAGCCCCGTTTGACTTAGCCACGAAAAACAGGCCCACCGACTCGGCGGGTCTGGTAGTCACTCCTAGAAGTCCCCGTCCAGCAAGATCTCGCAAGAAGGTGCGATAAGATTTAGAATTCCTCTTCAGCACTGGGTCCATGTACAACCGCGGCATGCTGTCGAAGTCCACTGTCTCCGGCTCCAACCTCATTCGCTTGTGATTCTCCTCCAAGAAAGAGCGGCACCCAGGGCTCACGATGTCCTCGATGAAGCGGCAGTCCAGTACGCTATCGGGCAGCGAGACCTTGCCGGGCTGGTAGGAGACGAGGTTCCTTGGGGCAGAGTCCGTCTCGTATACGGACTGCCCCCGGAGCAGCTCCCTCAGGGCTGCCTCCGCCTTCGGCATCACCCCCGGAGCTGCGGCCTGTCGCCGATGAGCTTCACGGAGCAGGTGCTGCTGAAGGGCTGCATGCTTGTCCAGGGTTGACGCGCCTGGACTCGGTGAAGCGGCCGCGCCCTTGAAGCCCGCCAGCCAGTTCAAGCTGCGGAGGGCGCGATTCACCAATTCAACCTCACGCTGCCGAGCGTGGGTCCTACGCTGAGACCTGCGTCCCCGAGCGGAGTCGCCCGGCGCCATCATCATCGGCACGGGAGAAAGGTCTCTCTCAAAATCGGACGGCGGCAACGGCGAGGCGCGGGCCAGGTTGTGGTACCAGCCAGGGGGGGCCCACTCCCCCGGCTGTGCCTTCTCGGTCATGACTGGACCGGCGGGGGGGGCCCTGGGGCGCGACCTCCGCGACCACGACCGCCGCGACCTCGCCCCTTGTCCCCGCCGCCGGTCCCTGTGGTGGCACCATCTGCGCCATGGTGGGCTGCCACGCGAGCATCCACCGCCTCGGCCTTCTTCATAGACTGCTCGACCTCCCAGTCCTCCTTGGCGCGGCGGGAGACGTGGCTCCTCAGCGAGGGCGCCATCAGCTCGTCCGCCTCGCCCAGAGGAGCCAAGTACCTGGCGTTGACGAACGAGGGGGCACCCGCGCGCTTGTAGGCGTCAACGATCGCGTTGAGCCGGCGCACGATCACCCCCAGGCAGGCAAGCCCCCCCAGGTTGACCTGATCGAAGCACCCGGCCTCCTCGAGCGCCTCCACCAGCGGCCGAAGCTCACGTGCGACGCGGACGGTGGGGGCGATGTTCTTGTCGCGCAAGAACTTCTCGAGCCACGCCAGAGGGGTGCCGGCCGTGCGGTACATCATCTTGCAGGTGCGCAAGCACGTCAGGCCCCCCTCCAAACGCTGGTGGCCCCAGTCGTAGCTCAACGACTCGTTCACGGCCTTCCTGAACTCCATGTATCGCTCGCCCTGGTCGTCCCACTCGACCCAGAGAGCGCGGGTGTCATCGCTAGCGGCGTCAGCCAAAGCGACAGCCGACGGAGCACCATCTGGGCCAGGAGAGCCCTCCGCGCCACTGGCGGCGGCGGTCTCCAGGGCACCGTCAGGCGGGGGGGAGCCGGGCGCCGCCACAGGAGCTGCCACCTCCAGCAAACGACTCAGCTCGGCAACACGGCGCGACCTCCAGCCCGCCACGTCGCCTCGCGGCATCAGCTCCAGACGCAGCGCCCTGCCCCGTCGAAGCCAGAGGGCGTCCACCCCAGCGCCGATGAGCGTCTCGCTCGACGGGTCAACGATCGCGCCGATGTCCAGGTCGGGCACGGGCTCGGCCAGCGCCCAGACGTGCCCTTCAGGAGGGGGCGTGGGCGAGCCCGTGGCGGCATCAGCCAGAGCGTCGCCCACTCCGCCGTCGGCAACTGGCAGCGCCTGCTTCCCGCGGAGGCGGTGCGAGGGCCGCGCCGGCGCGGCCCACGGGAAGACGTCCCCGCCATCCAGCAGTCTACCCGAGGCGAGCTCCACCTGGGCAGGCCCGTCGGCGGCAACCTGCCCGCGGGCCTCCATCGCCAGACGGCACTCGTCGGCCAACTCCACGAGCCTGGCGAGGGACGGCCGCTCGCGGAAGCTGTAGAGCTTCCGACCGTCAGCAGGCGGGGCCCCCCCGCTGGCGATGCGCTCGCCGCCCGAGGGGCCATCTGCGGGCGAGGCCCCCGAGAGCAGCTCCTCCCACAGGTCGCCATCCGGCGAGAGGACCCAGTAGAGGTGCGGGTCCACCAGCTCGCCATCCTCGACTCGCCGCGAGGGCCAAACCACGACGCGCTCATGGTCCATGATGTCGCCGTCGTAGCTCACCCGCGCGCGAACGCCACTGGGAAGATCAGCGCACCACTCCTCCCCCGCGGGCAAGGGGGGCAGGGCCGCCAGGCGTCCGCGCCGGCGCGACATTGTGCCTAGGCCACTGGCGGCGCTGGCAGCAGTTGAAGCACCTGTCCGCCAGCGAGATCCACACAGGCGAGAGGAGGCTCACCAGCAGGTGCAGGGCCAGCGCCTCGGCTCTCAGCCCGTCGCCAACCTCGGGGCAGACACAGCCGTCGCCCCCCGGCGGCGGCGGAGGCGGTGGCGACGCGGCCGCCCGCTCCGAGAACGCACGAGCCGCGGCCTCGGCGCGCAGCGCCGCCGACGAAGCCTCGATGCAGGCGCCGGCGACCCCGTCGAGCCACAAGGGAGTCTGGCTCGGCGGCTCGGGCACGGGCTGAGGTGGACTCGCCCGCCAGCCAAGACCAACGATCAGCGCCACGCACAAGGCCGGCAGCGCCGCAGGCACGCCAGAGGTGAGCATGCGGCGTGCCGCCCGTCCTGGAGCCGAAGACAGGCTATGGAGGGGAGAGCGGGGACAAGTGAGAGAAGGCATCCCGATGTTTCAACTTCCTTGGATCGTTTAGCAGGTACTGACATCACCGAATTCAAAAAGCCCAAGCTCAAACCGTTCAAGAACATATATTATTTTTCGTCGAAAATCCCCCTGTGGGGGGGACACGCCCGACTTAACACTGGGTCTCGGGACCGTCACAAAGCGACTCAGGACTAGAAACTGGTCCAGGGAGAATGCGTCGAGACCTCTGGGGGTCGATGTTCTGAAAAAGCCATGACGTCGGGGGTCTGGGTCAGGGGGGGAGGGACATCGACTTGAGACCGGCGATACATCGCCCACAGATCGGCAAGAGGCCCCCGGTATCGACACCGCACGCTCCTGGGCGACTGAGCTACCAGGCCTCAGCGGCGATGAACGGGCGATTGAGGGTCGATGCATCCTCACCTGGGCCACTCTCCCCGAAACGTTGCCCCTGACGTGGTGCTCCTCGCCCTGCTGGCCTTCGCATATACAACTCGAGCCTCTGGCAGCCGTTCGGGGCGATCCGGACCCCCCCAGGAAACCCTTGACTGACGAGAAACTGGGACACACAAATAAAAATAGGCACAAATAACCACATTCCCCATATGTTCATGTATGTTCTGGGTTTCTGCCTTCCCCCCCACTTCCCCTATTTTCCCATCTGTTCTGGGGAATCGACTATTAATAATTGTGTCTGTATGATTTGTTGTCCCCCTCCTGATCGGCGAGGAGCAGCCGTCAGAAACCACTGCTGGCTTTAGCACACACCGCGAGCCTCCCGGGGCCGTTCGGGGGCGATCCGGGCACCCGCAGAGCGCCCTCGACGAGGCGCAGCTGGTAGCGGCCACCCCGGGCCTCGAACGCCTGCAGGAACCTTCGAACTCGAAAACATGAAGGGGCCCACAAACACACAAGTAAATACACGCAGATAAAGAGATTCCCCATAGTTTCCCATGTTTTCTGGGTTCCTGTCTCCCCCCCCACTTCCCACGTTTTCGCACATTTCCCTGGGGATCGACGGTTGATTGTGTCTGTGTGTCTTTTCCCCCTCCTGAAATCATGCAGTCGGCCCAAGGCCAAAACGAACATCCTTCAATCGGGGGGACGTAAGACCTGGGTACAGGGGACTCGGAAATCCCCGACGAGGTCGTCAAAAAAATGACGAGGCCAAGCCTGCATTTTGACGAGGCCTCCCGCTGCAGACATCCCACGAAACTCCTCCTCGTAAAAATCCGAGGCGCGGTCGTCAAAAAACGATGGCGAACCCGAGTCCTGGCGAACCCGGGTCTTACGCTCCCCCGATTCAAGAACAGGAGGACATCCGCCGGCCGAAACACACACGGAGCATCCGAGGGTGCCCGCCCAGGGATGCACAGGAGCGCCAAGACAAAAACGCAGCACAGTGGGGCACCCTGCCCGAGCCGACCTGGATCCTACACCTTGTGAAGGGGCCCCAGGACACACAGACAAATGCACACGAATAAAACGATTCCCCATATTTTCCCATGCTTCTGGGTTTTTTGTCTTCCCGTCCATTTCCCATATTTCCCTGGTAGTCGGCGATTGATTGTGTCTGTGTGTTTCTTTCCCTCCTGAACCTTGGTCCAACAGTACAGGATCGTTCGGAAACACTTCAAAACGAAGGAAAATTCAGCCCACCCACCCGATGATCCAAGATGCCCTTCGATGGTCCTCGCCAAGGACACATGCACACGTCCGAGCGATGCCAAGCCACCCGTATCGCTGCCCCTGCCTTGACTCCGCCCTCTCTATAGATCTCGCCGCGCGCCCACGAGGCCCCCGCCCGGTGAGCCGCAGCTCCGAGACGCGCTCGCGGGCCCACGCCTTGCGAGGGGGGGGGGGCCCGCCGGCACCCTGAACCAAATGGAGAGGGTCGACTCTGTCCCCCTCAAATGGCCTCATGGCAGAGCCGACGATCCCCCTGCAGCTTTTATGTGTCTTGCGTCGTCGCCGTCGCCATCGCCGTCGTCGCCGCCGCCGCCGCCGCAGCCGCCGCCTTCGTCGTCGTCGTCGTCGTTATCGTCGTCGCCTTCGTCGTCTTTGTCGTCGTCTGTCTTTGTCGTCGTCGTCGTCGTCGTCCCCATTCGGGGTCGGCGGCGCCGGCCGTCAAGACCTTGCTGGCTTGGGCTGCGGGGCCGTCAACAGAAGCGACCCGGGACGAGTGGCCGGGCCCGTGGGCAAGGGGTAAAGAGGCCCCGCGGGGCCACGCTGATCGAGCCAGATCGAACCGCCGGGTGTCGGAATTCCAACTCTCGCCGGAGGAGCCAAAGACGGCTCTGCGACGGGATGGAGGCATGGCAGCGTGGCAAAAAGAGTCAATCGCAGTCCGTCCCGCGCAGGTGTGCGAAGGTGTTTTCGTCTCTGACGTCCTAACCACCCACTGGCAGACGTTCGGAATTAATCATCACTCGCTGCGTTGGATGAACCTGCTGGGGAGCAAAAGTGTGAGTGTGTGTGTGTGTGTGTGCGTGTGCGTGTGTGTGCGTGTCTCTGTGTGTGTTTGTGTGTCTGTGTGTCTGTGTGTCTGTGTGTTTGTGTGTCTGTGTGTATGTGTGTATGCGTGTGTATGCGTGTGTGTCTGTGTGTGTATGCGCTTTGGACCTCCATAGAGAACCGACGGGCCCCGAAGGGTGACCGTCGGACTTAGGCGATGGTCGCGAGTCCCTGCGTAACCTGGCGGCACCACCAGGGCACCATGATCACTCAGAACCTCCGGGCACGTTGGCCAGGGAGGCCAACTCAGGGAAACGGGAACCGAACAATCCTACGCAGGCATTAGAGGTCTCCCAGATGGGGTCCGAGTAGATGGGGTCAGAGGATCACGCCGCGTCGCCGATGCTTCACCGATCCTTCACCTATGCATCGGAGATGTATTTGCGACGTCCCGATGCATCTAGGACATCCGCGTGGAGAAGATCGGGCTGTGCATCGAGCCGTATCACAGATGCATCGGCGATGCGGGGCGATCCTTTGACCGCACCTACTCTCACCCCATCTGGGAGGCCTAGAGGCAAAGCCATGAGATCCGTCGGCGCGAAAAAAATCAAGCACAAGAAAAATCACGACCCGAACGCTAAACCACATCTTCTGCTCCATGTTTGGGTCTGGATTGATCTGTGATGGTCATGGGAAGCGAGGGCAACGCCAGGTGGGAAAAAATGAAACGCCCGGATTTCAGGGAATCCTACGCAGGCACAGGTTGGAGGAACAAATCACGGCATAAAGCATAACACACAAACTTTTGGCGGTCCGCGCGGAGTTCTTCGATCCGCGCCAGATCACGCTCCCTAGCGTTAGGTCGGGCCTGAACCCCCTACAGGTCGATTTTGGACGAACAAGGAAAAATACTCAAATACTCAAGAGATGCCACAAAAAATACTATAAAAAATAGTCCCCATGCTTTTTTTTCTATTTCTGAATTTTCCCCCTGTAGAGGGACAGGCCCAGCTTAACCCTAGCGCGCGGAGCGCGCCAGGGGCGGCGCCGGAGGCGCCGCCAGGGGGGCCACCGCGCGGATCCAAGGAATCCGCGCGGAGCGCTGAGAGCTTATGCTCTCAGCGCCTTTTCCTTCTCCGATGCGCAGGCACGGGTGCCAGCCCAGGCAGCGGGACCCCGGGACCAGCCAGCCCCCGCCACGAGGCCGACAAGAACAGAGCAGAACATCAACCCCGACGCACCCCGAGAGGGAAGCGAGCAGGGCGAGGCTGGGCAGTAGACGCCCAAGGGCCGCTTGGCAAGCGCCAGTGATCGGGTTGGGGGGGGTTCTCTTCCCTTGAACAAACTCTTGCTAGGATGAAGTCGGGCCTGTCTCCCTGCAGGGGGATTTTCGACGAAACATACAACATACCCCCACAATGATCCCAACTAAATTAAAAAAATGGTCTGGGGACTATGTTCTGACGATTTGTTGACCATTGTGGCGCATTGTTGTTGTATGTTTTTGAATATGTGTGGGGAATGTTGGGGCAACTTCTGGGCATTTCTTGACCATTTGGGGGCATCTTTGGGGTATGCTTTATTCTTCGTCGAAAGCCCCCCTGCAGGGGGACAGGCGCGACCTACTGCTGGGACGGGCAGGGCCCGCACCCCCCCACGGGGCCCGCGCCCGGGAGGCGGGCGCCTGCGCCCGTGCGGGGCCACGGTCGCCTCCCCAGGGAGGCGGCCGCGGCGTCGGAGCCGCTGCTCACGGCAGGCCGCCAAGTCGGGCGTGCCCCCCTACAGGGGGAGCGGCCAAGAGGGGGGTGTCCAAGAGGGGGGGTGCAAATCATGACCGGCGGCACGTGCGCGGCCCAGCGGGGGGGCCAGAGACGTAATGAAATAAGAGGAGGCGCCATGAAATCTGGGGAGATATAATGGCCCGCGCCATGATATCCACCCCCCCCTAATCATCACCCCCCTCTTTTCCGCCCCCGACCTACACGGGGACACGCCCGCTGGATAAAAATAACAGAGACTCAAAAAATGCTCCCAAATGGGCAGAAAATGCAAACATAGTCCCTCGACTCTTTTGGGACTGTTTTTAAGTTATTCTTGGGTGTACTTTTAATCTGTCGTCCAAAATCCCCCTGTATGGCGACACGCCCGACTCAAAGCAAGCGCTGCGGGCAAGACTCGTGCCCACATGTCCACTGCGGCGCGGAGCTGCGGGCTCCCTTCCCCGGGGAGCTCGAGGCGCACTGGACGTCGATCACAGGTCTGCCGCCTTGGAGGCCCGATCCTTCTCCAGATCCAAAGGCGCCTCGGCCTCGAGGCGCCCCGTCCAAGGAAGCCCAAGACGCACTGGACATGGATATGAATACCGCCCGCACCAAGGAGGCGGCCGCGACGTCGGAACCGCTCCGCGAAGCAAACATATCCGTATCCGCGCCACCGCGGTCTGGATTCCGGGGCGCCATCCTGCGGACACGCAGTCGAAAGGCTACGTTCCGCGCAAGGCATCCGCGAAGACACGCCCCGTATCCGCGGGGTCGCGGCCCCGCGCTGCTTGGAAAAAAACGGCGGAGGGTGAGGGTCAACCATGCAAAACAAACTTGCCTGAGCGAGCTTGCCATCGCTCGGACGTCCACTCCGTGCGGCTATGTTTCGCGAGATGATCCCGGAATCCCCAGATGCTCCTCGCGGGTTCGCGCCCGAGGGGAAAACTGCGCACGCCCGAGCGACGCCAAGAGAAAGGACAATTGCCCCAAGGAAAAGCAAACAAAAACAGCCCCCGAGGCCCCGAACAATGCAGCGGGGGGCCCACGGGAGCCTCGTCCCGCTCCCCGGGGGCTCGCTCCCCAGAGGGGGAGGGGGAGGAGGAGATGGAGGAGGAGATGGAGGGGGAGGAGGAGGATGGAGGAGGAGGAGGAAGAGAAGGAGGAGAAGGAGGCGGAGGAGGAGGAGGAGGAGGAGGAGGGAGGAGGAGGAGGTGGAGTAGGACAAGGGACCCTCGTCCCGCTCCCCGGTCCTGCTCTGAGGGCCGAGAGCCCTGCAGGGGGCCAACGAGAGCCCCAAGGCCGAGCGCGGCGCAGGAACTCCACCCTTTTGACTCTCTCGGCGACGAGTGCGGGGGGGGGAGTGGCACGGTGTTCTTCGGGGCCGTAGGCGACCCGAGGGGAGGAGGAGGAGGAGGAGGAGGAGGAGGAGGAGGAGGAGGAGGAGGAGGAGGAGGAGGAGGAGGAGAGGATGAGAAGGAGGAGGAGGTGGAGTAGGAGAAGGAGGGAGGAGGAGGAGGAGGAGGAGGAGGAGGAGGAGGAAGAGGGAGGAGGAGGACGGGTCGAAGGGGCGGGCCTTCTCCGAAGGCTCGGAAGCCCCCCGGCCTCCTGAGAAGTCTTCTGAGCTTTTCCAGAAGACGCTCTCCGGAGGCCTTCCGAGAAGTCCCGCCGCCTTCCGAGAAGGCCTTCTCCTTCTCGCTTCCCCCCCTCGTTCGCCGCCAAAGCCTAGTGCGCCAGAGGCGGCGCCGGAGGCGTCGCCAGTGGACCTCAAAGAAATCTCCCGAGCAGTGCTTGTACTTAGGAATTCTGATTTGAGGTTACACGGAATTGGCTGGGTATCCCGCGGATGCTCGTCCCATTGCGACTGGCTGCCGCCCCTTTGCCGCCCATCGCTGCGGGTTGCTGCCTGTCTGCCCAGACATGCGACGTCCTGATTCTCAATACGGGGCCCCCGGAGGTCCCCACCCTTTCCCCAGGACCGGTTTTTCATCCCGAGTTCTTCTTGGACGGTCCCGAGGCCCGCTGAGGGCCCCCCCAGGCCGAAAATGGCGAACAACGTGCCGCCCTGATGACTTTTTACGACGCGGCCATGCCTGGGTGGGTGAGTCCCTCGGGATTCGCCGCGCTCCCGCGCAGGGGGGCGTCCCAGCGATGCGCGGCTTGCTATTCGGCAGACGATCGCAGAGACGGTGAGGAGACGCTCCTGCATCACTGGGAGGCCTCTCAGATGGGGTCCGAACCGATGGGGCCGGAGGATCGCACCGCATCGCCGATCAATCGGCGATGCGTCGGCGATGCACGTCGACGCGAAGCAAATCGGGCTCCGCATCGAGCCGCATCGGCAGTGCATCGGCAGTGCGGCGCGATCCCCTTGACCCCATCTACTCCGACCCCATCTGGGAGGCCTAGAATCACATAGCCTGCACATACACAGTGCCAACAACATCTGTTCAGGGTGCACGCTGGCAAGCGCGTGAGTCTGCCGTGCCATGATGTTCGATACAGCTGCTCCCCAGATCTCTCCAATGGTGCGTCATGACAAGGGTTTCGAGGCAAATCCAGCGGTGGCGACGAGGGCCTCCCCGAAAAAGGGAAAAACGTGCAAGGGTACCCTTTATCCCTGAATAGTTCTGGGGGTACATGTAGTCTGGGGAGGGTACCTATACTCCGAGGGGGGGTGTACCTCCAGTCTAGGGGGGTACCAGTAGTCTGGAGTGGGGTACCTGTAGTCTGGGGGAAGGGTACCTGTAGAAGGAGACGGGGGGTGGTACCTGCAGTCTGTGGGGGGGAATGCGTGTTCACGCGTCAACGCACGCGTGGATGTAGTCCTGGGGGGGTACCTGTAGTCCACGAGGGGTACCTGTAGTCCCGGGAGGAGTATCTGTAGAGGGGGGGGAAACCTGTGGTCCGGAGGAGGGGTACCCGTATTTCGGGGAGAGGGTACCTGTACTCTGTGGGGAAACCTGTAGTCCGGACCTGCAGTCTGGGGGGTACCTGTAGTCTGGGGGCCATGATATATATAAATATATATGTATATGTGTGTATGTGTATGTATGTATGTATGTATGTATGTATGTATGTATGCATGCATGCATGCATGCATGCATGTATGCATGTATGTATGTATGTATGTACGTATGTATGTATGTATGTATGTATGTATGTATGTATGTATGTATGTATGTATGTATGTATGTACGGCAAGTTCGTGTCGTGCCGACCCCAGCGTTGGTTTTTGACACCGCAGGGATCGTTCAACCTTGAACGATCGGCCGCTGCCGCAACGTCCGATCGCTCAACATCGATCGATTCTGGGTCGCCCGCGGCGTTCAACCTTGAACGCCCGCGCTGGGGTCGCCGCTGGTCGACACGACGCGAACCTACCGTATGTATATATATATATAAATATAAGTGTATATGTATGTATATATATACATGTAGAGACAGCGAGATCGAGGGTCACAGGGTAGCAATTGGCAACCTGGGCTACCTTTCTCCCCTCCGAGATGCATGCGCTGGAGGTCTGCCTGCCTGCGCCACCATGGGCGCCGGGCGCGCCCGCGGCGGCCATGGGCCGCCGCCCGCGTCCCGGCAGGGGTCCCCAGGGGGACGACGAGGGCAGGCTGGCAGAGGGCATGGGTAGAGTGAGGTCAGGCGTGTCCTCCCACGGGCGGATTTTGAGCGAGAACTTAAAGATGTCAAACCAATCAAAAGCAGCCAAACATAGTCGAACAATCGTCCCCAGACTATTGTTTGACTACTTTTGAATATTCCTCTCGGGTCGGGTCCTCAGACCTCCGAAAGATCACGTGAGCCTGTTTTCTCTTCCGAAAGATCCGGAAGAACCAATCACAAAAGCAGCCAAACATAGTCGAACAATCGTCCCAAAACTATTTCTGGACTAGGCATGGGTAGAGGGGCATGGGTAGAGTGAGGTCAGGCGTGTCCTCTCGGGTCGGGCGAAAGGGGGGGATAGCAAAGGGGGGTTTGAGAATCAGCTCACGTGGCTGATTTTCCCGGCGCCTCCCGGCGCCGGAGGCGGCCATGTATCGAGAATGGGCCCCTCGGTGAGGCCGAAACCAGCTGCATGCAGCAATTTCGTAACCCCCCCTTTCCCAATCCCCCCCTTTCGCCCGGCCCGATCCTCCTACAGGCGGATTTTGAGCGAGCACTGAAAAATGTCAAACCGATCAAAAGCAGCCAAACATAGTCGAACAATCGTCCCCAGACTATTGTTTGACTACTGTTGGATATTCGTCCTGTGCAAGGACATGCCCGAATTAAGGGTGGAGAATCAGCCCACGTATATAGCCAGTTTTCCCGGCGCCTCCTGGCGCCAGGAGGCGCCCAATTGTTGTGGAATGGGCCCCGGCGGCATATTTGCAATTGTTGTGGAATTGGGCGGAAACGTGCTGAATGCAGCAGATTCCGTCCCCCCCCCCTTTCCTTCTTCAGAAGCCCCCAAAAGACGTGGGAGCCCAACCATGTACAGGAACACGCCCCCCCAATCCGCGAGACCAACCGCTTGAAACGAACGTTCGCGCAATAGGCATTCTCGAAATCAACGTGTATTCATGTACGTGTACGTCCTTCTGTCGCTCCCGACTTCGTAGATCGACTGCCCCGGATCAATCCAGACTGGGGTCAGTCAGGCTTTGCAGGATCCTGCAAGATCCTGCACGATCCTGCAGGATCCTGCACCCAAGCCTGGGTCAGTGCGCCCCTGGCCCTGCAGGATCCTGCAAGATCTGGCGCCCATGGCTGACCCCCGTTTGCACGGACCCCCGTCCCTTGAGCCCCAACGACTTATCTCGGCTACGCGCAAGTGACCCTGGGCAAGAGTGACCTTCACTCAGTTCGCGGCGACACGGGGGATTCGGGGTGGCCAGACCTGGGCGCACAAGCCGCTGCTGCCGCTTCACCTTCAACGATCGGGGGACCCCCTTGGGCCCGCACCAACGGTCACTCTGGCGAAAGGTCACTCTTGCGTCTAGTCGGTGATCCATGCCCGACACGTGCCAACCCTCCAGTCTCGATACTTCTTGGGGCTTGAAACTACTGCTGGCAGCGAGGGCTGAAGTAGGTGGGGATATCTTAAGTGTACGTCCGCCCATAGATCCGATGTCGTGATTTATTTCAATTCGTGGTCCCCGGAAGTCTCGACCCATTCCCCAGGACCGGCGTTTCATCCTGGGCCGTTAACTGTGACGGTCCCGAGGCCCGGCGAGGGCCCCCGGAGGCCGCAAATGGCGCAGAACCTCCCGCCCCAGTTTTTGTCACTCCTCGAGGGGGTCTGGGCTTCGATCCCTTCGGGGATGGACAGACCTCCCTTTAGTACAACGTGGTTTAGTGAGAACGACCTCGGGCCCAAACCTGGCGGGCGCAGGCCTGGAACACAACGGCCGCGGCGCCCTCTCGAGCACCAAACACGGACCATTCACTAATCGACGTGTCAGGGTAGGAGGTCTGCCCACCCCCGATCCCTGCCTAATGTGCCCCCCCTCTCGTCCGCCCCGCACGGGCGGTCCCGAGGCCCGGCGAGGGCCCCCGGAGGCCGAAAGGGGCGAAAAACCTGCCCCGCCCCGATTCTTGCCCTTCCTCGAGGGGCTCTGGGCGTCGCTCCCTGCCTATATATGCCCCCCCCCCTCTCGTCCGCCCCCCACGGGCGGCGCCCGGCGCGCGCGCGCGGCTCGCCGCGCCCTCGCCGGAGCTCGTTTTTTTTAGACTCTGGCAAGTTTACTTGCATGGACGGGGGGGGGGAGGGGGGCTGAGCCTGAAGCAAGCCCGGGGGGGGGGGGGGCGCGGAAATCACGCAAGTCGAAGGCACTTGCACGCCAGTATTCGCTTGAAGAGGGGCGAGGGGGGGGGGAGGGGCGACCGCCATGCAAATAAACTTGCCCGAGTCCAAAAAAACAGGCGCCCTCGCGGCGCGCAAGCCGCCGGAGGGGCGGCCGGGCCGGAGCCCTCTCGGCGCAGCGCGGCGGGGCGCGGAGGAGGCCGCGGCGCGGAGGGCGCGGAGGAGGCCGCGGGCGCCGCCTCTCAAGGGGGGGGGGCCGGCGCGCCTCCGAGGGCGCGGGGGCCTCCGGAGGCCCTTTTGTCCCCCCCTCGATCCCCTCCCTTCCTCCCTCCCTCCCTCCCTCCCTCCCTCTTCCCTCCCTGCGCCACCCTCTCCCCGCCTCCTCCTCCCTCCCTCCCTCCTCCCTCCCTCCCTCCTCCCTCCCTCCCTCCTCCCTCCTGAAGGGGCCCCAGGACACACGACTGAATACACACAAACATAAACAGATGCCCCGTATTTTCCCGCATGTTCTGGGCTTTCCCGTCTTCCCCCCCCCACCTCCCACATCTCATTCCTGGTTGTCTGGGGAGTCGAGGATCAATCGTGTCTATGTGTTCTTCCCCTCCTGAAAGATCCGGGAGTTGCCATGCTCGGGCACGGGGGACTCGGGTCGGCCTGAGGGGGGCCCTCGTGGAAATGACGGGACCCCGCCTGAAACTTGACGCGGGCTCCCGCTGCAGACATCCCACGAGGACCGGACCGTCAAAGTCCAGGACGCGCTCCACAAGAAACTTCGACAAGCCCGAGTACTCGAGTCCAACGTTACCCGACAAGACGACGCCAGGAGGATAACGAAATCGGTTGGAGATAGAGCGGCGCTGATAGATGATCGGTCGAGGACAATCCATCGAGAGAAGCTCTGAGAGACGGCAGCTCTGGGAGAGCTCTCGGGCGCCGCGGCCTTCTCAGAGCCTTCCGCAACGCTGCGTTCTGGAGCGCTCTGGCACGGATCGGTCCTCGTCCTGGCCCCGCCCGAGCGGCGGGGAGGCCTATAGGAGGCAACTCCTGGGAGGCCTCCGCTGGAACGAGGAGGGGCGATGAAGCCCGATCAGCGGCGGGCCGCTTCCCCCGGTTGGGCCCGAATACGCCAGGTATGGAACCCACGATTAGGCCGGATAAGGCGGGATTGCGCAATCCTGAACCAGCCTTAACCAGATTCGCTGAAATTCAGCCGGTTGTCGACCGCGACAAGACCAGCATGCAGTGAACTCCCAGGAGTTGCATCCCAGGGTGGGGGGAAGGGGGAAGGTTTCATGAGGCTGCTTCTGAAAAGGCGTCGGCCCTGCATCTACAGGCAAGGCCCTACATCTCTAGGCAAGGCACAGGCTCTACATCTCAGCCTCCCCCCTCTCCCTACCCCTTTTCAGCGCGTGGCCCACCGCCGCCGCTTCGCCCCGTCGCCGAAAGGCGCGGCCAGAGACGCAACGCATCGCAAGACTCGAGAAGGCGGCCTCTCACCGTTTCCGGCCTCACTCGCTGGGGCCCGGGACCGTCAGAGAACGTCTCGGGGTGGGAAGGCAGTCCGTGGGAATGGGTACGAACTTCCGAGGACGCCGTCGTCGCGCGGCGGAGGGCGGAGACGACGACAGTCCTGGCACCCTCTCGCGTCGATGAGAAGCTGCGACAGAAGTGTCTTGG